TCCTTTTTTTATAAATACACCTCTTTTTTAAAAAAAATAATTAAAATTTTAAAATGTTCTTAATTTTTTTGTTTTTAATTTTTAATTTTACATCTACAGTATTTAATTTAGTACTTTTTTCACACATTTTCCTTCCTTTTTTAAATTTTTACATGAAAATCCTACGAAATCCTAAACCAATACACCCCCCTAAATTGAAAGAAACAATTAATATAAGGGACCAAAATAGAGTTTTAGCCTTAATCTTTATATTAGACAGGTACTTAGAATTTTTTTTAGTTCTAATCATTAATTTTAATTAATTTAATATTAGAATATTTAATAAAATATAAAATATTAATTAAAATGATTAAGAAAATAATAATATTTCTAATTAAAATAATTAAATTAATTTTATACACATTATTTAATTAAGTAATATTTATTATTTTATGTAAATAATAAAATTAAGTATAATTTATTTTGAATATTAATATATTATTAACGATAAATTTTGTTACTTATACTATTGATCTTACTTTTCAATATATTAATTCACCTTTTAACATTATATTTTTATAAAAAATAATATGCTATTTTTATCTTTGGAGATAAAATTACTACTTGTAATATATAACAAAACAAATTAAATTATAATTAATAAGTTGAAAATTAAAAATAAATTTAAAGTAAGAAATTAAAAATACCTCGTTAGTGTCTAAATAAATTATAATATTTCAAAAAATAAAATATTAAAAATTAATAAAATGAAAGAATAAAATAAATTTTAATAAAAAGTAAATATTGATAAAAAAAGAAATAAAATTAAATTATTTTGGTCCTTATAATCTTTTTTTGTTTCGATGTAATCCCGCCTTTATTTTTTGTCTCAATTTGGTCCCAAACTAATTAATTGGTTTCAACTTGGTCCCTAATAAATTAATTGGTTTCAATGTGAGACTTCCGTCCAAATTTCTTTAACGGAATTAACTATTGGTCACGTGGATGCCACCTAGATGCATAAGTGGATGCCACGTGGATGAAATTGTTTTGAAAACACCTGGAACCAGAATGCGCTTTTGGTGTGTTAATTTTGCATCGGAAACTGGCCGTTCCAAATGCAAAATTTACACACCAAGAGTACACCAGAACGGTCCGTTCTAAAAGCAGAACGGACCGTCCTGGTTTCAGAACGGGCAGTTCTGAAATCAGAACGGCCCGTTCCAAAACTGAATAGAATATTATTTATTAATTTTATTAAAAAATGTAATAATTTTGAAAAATATTTTTTTATGGTAAAAATTTTAAAATTACTTATTTTATAAAATACAATTGCCTTATAAATAGAGTAATAACTTTTTTTTTCTATCTGAAGAAATATTTAAGTGTCTTTTAAATTTTTACATTCATTTAAAATAAAAATATTTTATATGTTAATTTGAATTAATTTAACGAAATATTATATGATTTTTAATTTTTTAAATTTTTTTATAAATTTGATCTATACATGAAAAACTTTTTAATTTAACAATTAAATTCTTAAAAATTTGATATAGAACATTAATTATTAAATAGAATAAATCTATCAAGACTTACTATTGAAGTAAGTAAATTTTTTCTTCATTAAAAATGAATATAATTTTACCACAAAATAAAAAACAATTAAACAATAAAATAAAATATAAAAAAATATTAATATATTTATTATATTAGATATAACAGCATAATTAAAATATAATTAATAATGTCATTTCATCATTTACTGTATAGTGTCATTTCATTGACAATATAGTGTCATTTCATCCTTTACTGTATAGTGTCAATTTATATTATATAAAATATTATTTATTAAAATTATTTTTTATTGTTATTATCTAATTATTAAAAAAACTCAAAATAAATATCAAATCAAGTTGAAACCATCCAAACCTAATTAATATCTAATTATTTTTAAAGTACATCGAAGCTAAATTCCAAAAGCTCAAACTTACTACTAGTAGTAGAGACACGTCCTACACACTCCATTATATTACAGAGTAACGACTATACAGTGTAAAAATTTATTCGAGGGTTTGTTTCATTTCATACTTCCAATTGTTTTTTATGTTGAAGCTTTTGTACAAGTGTTACAACAATAAAATATAATACCACACTTGCGGTGAGCGATTTACATGTGTCAGAGGCGGTGGAAAACTTAGACAAGAAAAAAAAAACAAATATAAATTTTCTTTTTTCAATTTAAAAATTATGTCACTTTGAAAATTCTTCCATATTGATCTATAAGTCACTGTTCATTTATTGAAGCACGTCCGTTTTGGATTGACTTTAATTAATTAATTTATTTATTTATGGCTATTTGGTTCCTTATAATCTTTTTTTGTTTCGATGTAATCCCGCCTTTATTTTTTGTCTCAATTTGGTCCCAAACTAATTAATTGGTTTCAACTTGGTCCCTAATAAATTAATTGGTTTCAATGTGAGACTTCCGTCCAAATTTCTTTAACGGAATTAACTATTGGTCACGTGGATGCCACCTAGATGCATAAGTGGATGCCACGTGTTTTTTACTAAAAAAAAGTCTTTTAAAATCCTACGAAATCCGAAACCAATACACCCCCCGTAATAAAAATTATTATTCATAATATATTTAAAATTTAAAATAAAATACAAAAGTAAATTATATATAATTATATTTTTTTATATAAATAAAAAAATAATTGAATTTAAAACATTCACTATTACCTTAATTATTTTAACTAGCATATTAAAGATATTTTGTATATCTGTATTTTTAAAACAAATAAAAGTGAATGGTTAATAATAAGAGGTTGCTAAAATATTTTGGATAGTTGTAGTCATAATTATAATAAAAGGTTGCTAAGATATTTTGTACAGTTTTTGAAAAAATATTAGAGAAAAAATATAATTAGAGAGGTAATTTAAGGGACAAATTTGTCCAAAGAATGTGAACACTAATTTGGGTAATCCCTTTATTAATAATATATATTAATATTCTATATTTTGTTCTTTTTAGATACAGAAAGTATAATTATAGGTTGCATCCAATACTACTCAAACGGTAGTCCACATATATTTAGATGACGTGACAGACATTGTTGGATGATGACGTGATAGTCCGTCAGTCACATCATCACTTAATAAAGAGGGATTAACATCAAGTACTAAATTGAAGAAAAAAAATTAGTCATATATTTTTAGAAATTTTTCTTAAGAAATAGTAATATGAAAATTGACTTAATTAAAAGTAGTTTAAACATATTTAAACTTAAATAATAACATACATCTAAAACAAATCTTGTTATCAAACAATATTTTTTAACTCTAAATATCAATCATTTATAATTTGATATGCTGAGTCATTGATAATTTGTTCAACTTTTGATATATTAAGTGTTTGGATTGAGGTCAATTAATGGTAAAGTATGTTCAGCAACATACTCGATGAAAAGAGAAATTTTATGTTTTTTACATATGTTATTTGATGTTGTATGCAAAACTCATTTTTAAGCTTCCGGTGAGATTGTGAAGAACCTATATGCATGGTTTGTCCATTAACTACCTATGTGTTGTTTAGCTTTGTAATTTCCTCTCTACTAAGGATGACTCACTTCTTGTGCCAAGCTTTTCTCGAATGGGTTTATCCTCTCACTCTATTTTCTTGATTTCTAAAATTGAATTTCTTCTGACCAGTTGATTGTGACAAAGTATAAATTTGGGAAACTGGTAGGACATTATGAACTAAAAATGGATATGGACTTGAAAATAGATTAAAATAATGTGTGGATGGTTGTGATGTCACGATAAAACTAGGGAACGGTTCAATTAATAAAAAAATACTATTAAGAATTATTATGATTGACTTAATTGATGAGAGTTTGATAATATTTACAAAATTTTAAATTCAAATTCTATTGATATTATTATAATTTTAAGGGATAAAAATAAACCCTATTAAGAGTTAAGCCTATAAAAATTATTAATTAACACACATCAACCTTACTTATATTTGGAAACCATTGTCTCTGATTTTTTAAATTTTCTTTTATCCCATAACCATGGTACACGTAGTTATAAAAATAGTTGGATGGTATATTCAGTGGATGATGATGCTCTTTATTATTATTTTGTATAGCTTTTCTGTAATTGTCACCTCCTATAATAGTATTTAGTGCTTTGATATTAAGCGAAGCTATTGATTAGAAGGTTGAAATCTGTTTAATGTTTTGCTTTATCATTTTTAATTTCATAAAGGATGGTCCACTTTTGGCTAAACATTCTTTGATGTATAGAAGACACTTCATATCGAAACAAAATGAACACAATCATCTCACTTAAAAGAGGGATGTTAAAACTACATATTTCCTATAGTAATGCTATATAATAAGCAATACTCATGCACCATTGATTCATTGTTTATTTGTTTTGCATAATACATTAATACATAACAAATAAATAAATAAAAAGAGATAAATAACAAAACCATCACGACGACTACATAAAGAAAGAAAATATATTAACTAACTATAAAAAGACCTAATTTTTCAGCTCATCAATGCAGGCACTGCTTGTGGTTGTCATTAGAATTACATAAACGTCCTTTTCTCCCTTGTATTTGATGATCATTCCCTTTTGAAGAATGAAGAATGCCTAAGGATATAAGATAATATAGAAGTATTATCAGAGTGATTCAAATCGGTAAGCAGAAAAAATTTAGTGACTCATTTATCATATAATTTCGCTACTTCACAATTTTAATGCGTGGTAGAATTTCCTTGAATTGATGTTTATAATGTCCCTAATTCTAATAAGAAGCAAACTTGTTGGTTTTAGAGCTTTGTTTCCGTTAAGAAAATTCATTTGTTAGATTCCATTATGTGGATTTTGTTTTTACTATGTTATAGATTTGTTGGTGTAAAATATTTATTGATTTTATTAATAAAGAATATTTATAAAAACATAATTGATTCACATTAAAAATTTAAATAAATAAGAGATTAAAAGAATTTTTAAAATTATTTGACAAAAAGTAATTTATAAAAATATTATCTAGTGTGTGATATGTTTTAAATTTAAGGTATACATTTATATTGTAGTATAAAATTATTTTTAATTGTTGATAATTTATTTTAAAATATTAAAATTTAATTTATAAATAGACACAATAAAAACAAACTTGAATTAAATAAGAAGTTAAAAAGATTCTTAAAAATATTTTTGTCAAGTAATAATTTCTAAAAAGTAAAAATGTTGTTAGGTAAAATAGTCATTTGCTTTTATAATATATGAGTTGGTTTGTTTTTTATTTTTAACTAAATTATTATAATTTAAATAATATATAAAAAATAATTGACAATAAGAATCTTGAGAAATACGAAATTTAATAACTAAATTACATGTTCAATAAAATATTTGGTTCCAACATTAGTATTTAAACTTTGTAACTACTATAAAAGTTTATTTATATTTATGTTATCAACACAAATTCTTTTAAACATTCTTTTCTTAATTGGTTATAATTTATTAAAAAAAACATAAAATTTGATTAATTTTATATTTTATTTAATGACTTTTTTTTCTTCTTTCTAATCTTGTATTTTTTTAATAAATTTTAATTAATAAAAATAATTGTATTGAAAACTACTCATTTTAAATGAATATGAAAAATGAGAATGTGAAAATAACCCTTTCCTGTCTCTATCTATCTTTGTCCATATCTACCTAGTTTAAAAGAAAGAAATTTGAACCAAAAGGTTATACTTACCAGTAAGGCTATGCAACATGTTCAATTCAACGACGAAAGGAATTCATTTTGATGACCACCATGACATAAAGTCGGTCTCTCAAGCCATAAAGAAACTTGAAATAAGCGTGTCTCCATTTTGTGTTTAAGAAAATGGCACATAAAACTCCCAAAAAGCCCGTCGCAAATCCAGATTCTATTCCAATATAAAACCATGACAAAAATCCAGATTCACTCCCACCTTCATCTGTTGCCTTTGTTTCTTTAGGTTTACCATCATGATGGCATGTTTTTGTAAGTGGAGGTCCACAGAGATCAGGATTGCCGATATAGCTGAGTGCACTGAACCCCTCAAGTTGTGTGCCTGATGGTATTTTGCCTGTCAAATTATTGTATGACAGGTTTAAGAAACTAAGAAAGGACAAACTGGACATGCTCTTAGGAATTTCACCCCAAAGTTGATTTGTTGAAAAATCAAGGGACTCCAACTTTTTCATGTTGCCAATCTCATTCGGTATTTTTCCTGTTAATTTGTTGTGGGACAAGTTCAAGGAGAACAATCCAGTGAGACTCAACATTTGGGGAGGTATTGTTCCGGACAAATTGTTACTTGACATATCAATTAAGGTCACAAAGTGTAAGTTCTTTCCATATTCTGATATTTGACCTTTTATAAGCAGCTCAAGACTATCTCTATTGATCAAGATACGATTATGAAATGAAGGAAAGAAAAAAGTGAGCTTGTTGCCGGAAGCATGGTTAAAAACTAAGGCTGTAATATTATAAAGACAACTGGGTATATGTCCTGAGATTGTGTTATCTGCAATATCCAAAATAATAAGTGAAGACATTTGACATATCTGTGTTGGGATATTGCCACTAAAATTATTGGACCTTATTTGGAGAATCATTGCACCATGTGGTATCCAGTTTGGTATATTTCCTGATAAACTATTTTCACGAACATTAAAGATCAATAAAGAGTGGCAGTTTTGCAGTGAGGGAGGAATCTCTCCATAGAGCTTATTCTCATGCAGATGAAGTGAGGAAAGCTTAGATAACAAGCCCATTGATGAAGGTATGTTGCCTGTTAACTTGTTGCTTCCCAAGTTAATATGAACCAAAGAATTCCACCTTTCCCAGCAATTTGTAAGCTCCCCGGATAGATGATTCCAAGATATGTCCAAGAACAACAAATTGCTTTTCCCATTCAACATCTTTTGATTACACAAGAGGGGAGAGATGTTTCCTGATAATAGGTTGTTTGATATGTCGAGAAAGGCCACAGTAGGTGATAGTCGAGGTAGGAAACCTTTTAGACCATTCGATGACAAAGATATGAATGTAGAGTTCAACACCACGTTTGAAAGATTCCCATTTATCGAATTATCTTCTATTTCAAGTTCAGGCACTCTTGATACAAAATTCCAAAATTTGTCATGGGCTTCAAATGACGATTCAAAAATAGCTAAACTTTCAATAGATCTTTGTGTATATAACCACGCAGGAAAGTGAGGACTTACAAATCCGAGAGCTATTTGTTCAAGTTGAAAAGGTGGAACCCAGTGGGGGTCAAAATCAAAGATTAATGGTGGTGATAATGATATATCCAAATCCTTTAATTTCGACATTTTGGCAAAATTTCTCTGAGACACAGCTCCTGACAATTGATTACTGCCAACAAGCAAGTCAATTAAGGATGATAGATTTCCCAAACTTGTGGGAATAGATCCAGAAAACATGTTTCCTGCGAGAACAAGATATTGTAGATGTCCAAGTTCGCCTAACCAATCTGGAATTGGTCCATTCAAGTTATTGTCTTCCAAGACCAAGGCTTCCAAATCTTGAATATTTAACAATTCTTTTGGTAGTTGGCCTTTTAAAGAACAACTTCTAAGATCAATTCGAGAGATACCACAAGTAAGATTGAATAACCATTTAGGCAATTCTGAGGGAAATTCATTGCCAGCCAGAGCAAGATATTTGAGTGCAGTAAAATTTGCATATTGAAGAGATGGACTCAAGTCTTTAAGTTGACATTCAACCATATAAAGCACTGAAAGTGAGGGAAGGGGAGTCACTAATTGAAGCCAGTTAGCTTCTTTGTGAAGATCAACGCCGCCGAGGTTGAGATATTCCAAGGAGGAAATGCGGGAAAGCCATTGGAGACTATTGATGACAAGATTCTGGTTTTCTGATAAATCAAGATGTCGAATAGCTGAAGAGTTTAGACACTGAGGAGGAGGAGTAGCTAGAGATAAGTTATTATGACAATCCCAACTATGCATAGAATAATTAAATTGGATAGCTAAGAAGTCATTATTCCTCAAATTCAAGTAATCTAGAAATTCTAATTCCACCAACAAGAAGGATAGGTAGATGGAACCTGTGAGGCAGTGTGACTTATCTTCTTGGTCAATATAAGTAGGAAGAGTTGTAGAACATGGGAGAGTGAGGTCAGTGACTCTACTTGTGATGTTGTCACACATAACACCTTTCCATTCACAACAGTCTTGTTGAGTGGACCATGAAGAGAGCATGTCTGATGGATCTATGACTCCTTGCTTGAAGTTTAAGAGAGCTTGTTTGTCTTTCTGGTGGCAGCGAATATTGAGGCTGCATGTGATGGGCATGACTGCGCATAGAACGCATGCAAAGATGATTGCATATTGAGAGGGAGATGTATTCATGGTTACAAGAGAAATGATGGCTGGAATGACGGAGGGAAACTCTTTATACACTTTTCACTTTCTCCTTCATACTTCATATTTGATCTACCATAAATTACTCTGTTCAATTACAATAAATAATTAATTAGAGTAAAATTGTGATAGATTACTTAAATGTCGCTTAAATGAATGTCAAATCGAAATAATTGAAATAGAATGCACTTATAAGCATCTTTCATTGGGACTGCTCTTATATATATTTGCCAGCAGATTATTTCCTTATTTGTTGTTTTCATTCTCGTTATTTTTTTAACTTTTTATTTAATTTAATTCTTATTTATTTTAATTATTTATGAATTAGATTTTAATATTTTAAAATAAATTAAAAATAATATTATGATATAATTATTTATCATAATTTTAAATATAATTTATATATTTAAAAATTGCCTTATAAATAGAGTAATAACTTTTTTTTTCTATCTGAAGAAATATTTAAGTGTCTTTTAAATTTTTACATTCATTTAAAATAAAAATATTTTATATGTTAATTTGAATTAATTTAACGAAATATTATATGATTTTTAATTTTTTAAATTTTTTTATAAATTTGATCTATACATGAAAAACTTTTTAATTTAACAATTAAATTCTTAAAAATTTGATATAGAACATTAATTATTAAATAGAATAAATCTATCAAGACTTACTATTGAAGTAAGTAAATTTTTTCTTCATTAAAAATGAATATAATTTTACCACAAAATAAAAAACAATTAAACAATAAAATAAAATATAAAAAAA